AGCTAAGTTACGTTAAGTAGAATTTTGTTAAGTTAATTACGTTAAGTTGCGTTGTGTTAAGTTAAGTATGAGTTAAATTAAATTAAGTTAAGTTTTATTTAAGTAAGTGTTAGTTAGAGTTATTGCAGGCGTAAAAGTGCTGTAAGTTTCTGTTTTGAATTTCCTTAGTATTTTATTGTTGTTTATTTGTGGTTGTTGTTGCTGGTTGCAAAAAGAAGAAATGGGAAAATGAAAAATACAATTGCACTTACAAGAGGCCGTCCCCAATACCATGATTTGACACGTTGTGTTAAACCACCCAAATGTGAACGTAGTCCATCTAAGTAGCCACCCTGAAAATGCACAATGAACAAACGAGAAAAAAAAGAAAAAAACAAACACACATATTTTTTTTTTGTTGATTGGTTGGTTGATTGAATTGATTTCGTTTGGTTATTGATTATTTTAAGCGTTTTCAATTTCGTTACAGTTGATTTCAGTTCAATTTGAGTTGCGATTTTTTTTAAATTTTCGATTTTTTTTCGAATTTTTTTTTGTTACGTAAAATTTCATTTCGTGCGAATTGGTAGTGGGAAAACAAAAGTTAAGTTATGAAAGAGGAAAGAAAGAAAATGCATAAGAATTAAAAAACGAAATACAACAAATTGTGAGATTTAAGGAATTCTAGAAGATTTTTTCTAATATCAATTTTGATAATTTTTATTTTTTCGTATTACATTTTTTTTTAATTTTAGTTATTTTTAATTTAGCTTCTTTAATTTTCTTAATTAAATTAATGTTTTTTAATTTTCTTAATTAAATGAATTTTTTTTCAATTTTTTAAGTTAAAATTATTTTTCTAAATTTTTCTTTCGACTTTTTCTAATTTTTTTCTAATTTCATTACTAATTTTTTTGCTGAAATATGATTTCTATTCATAAACTACCATATGTTTTTGCCATTACTTCATATCAATAAATAACATACTAAAATACAGACTAAGTAGTTTATAGTGTCTAAACAAGTAGGTAAGTAGTAGTATAGACAGTAATTAGAGCAGTAGTAAGAGTCACAGCTTTATTTACGATTCATAATTATTTATAAGTTCATATATATAGTATATATAGTGAATATATAGTAAATAGCGGATACAGAGTTATAGAGTAGTCATAGACACGAAACTACTTGGAAAGTTTGTGAACGAGTTGATGTAGGCTTACAGTGAGCTGAGTAACAACATCTATCAAAAGAAACGACCTAAATTGGTAACTGGTAAATCGGTAACAACAACCTGATTAACACTAGTCATTTTCATTATACTTTTAACGACTATATGTATGTATGTTTGTACTGTACATTGGCAACTAGCCTTGTATATATATGGTTGGGGTTATATATTATATATGCGTGTTTGTGTATATATATACGATTGTGTGTATATATGTACGATTGTACTACATATATGTATGTATAGATTCATAAACTAACACACTTATAAGTTATAAATCGTCAGCTCAAATTCAAAACAACATACCATCCAAAAAAGTCAAGAAAGGCTCTCGAATATAATAACCAATATATATCCATTTCCAGAAATGAAAGAAATTTCGTGTCGTATTAGTGTGTGATAACCAATACATAAACAAAACTCAAATTTCCTTGATCAATTCAACAATTTGAGTACTCTCTATTATATCGTTTTTCCATCGCCAGTAAACTTATGAAAAGTGATGTTACGTTATTTTGCATTTTAGCTGACGAAATATTCATTTAAAACAACAACAGCTGCTAGCTAAGTATATTTTTACCAAGTTTTATATATATGTATGTACATTTCTAACTAATAATGGTAAGTCGCTTAACTAGTTATGAGCGCTAACCATTATAAAACCGAAAAGTTTACCTTTACTATGCGCGCTAACCGTTATAATATGGAGTATGTCCACTAACCGTTAGAATACTGGTAAGTCTACTTCGTAAATTCAAAAAAGTAAAAATGAAACCAAAAATATATGCTTACATACATTACAGCCTAGTTATAGCGCTCTAACTGTACTTCACTACCACTGTTACTGCTTGAATTTTATACTTTTAAACTAAAGCTTTCGCAACGCGACACGCTCCACTAAAACATATGACTGGATCATGTGGCTTGCGCCGTGTGTTCTTTGTTTGATAAATGGTTCAGGTGCGTTGTTGTGTGTTTTTCTGTGTCAGTTATGGCACATATTCACCCACTGAGCAAATCCTTTTACTATAATGCATTTGCATTAATCCCCCTTTTGCCTGTGAAAACACCAATTTTTTTCAAAAAGTCCAGCAGCCTATGCATACATGTGTGTGGTGTGTTTCATTGCCTTTTCGTTAGTATTATTTAGTTGTTTTAGTTGAGTTAAATTAGGCATAGAACTTAGAGCGTAGGAAACGGGATTGACTAAACTATGTGGACAAACTTACCTGTTCCTGTGTGAGGCAGCGTATTGGTAAGCAGGTTGCAGTTTATTTGGAAAAAGAGAAGAGAGCGAACTTAAGTTATTGAATTCGTACTTTTGAGTTATATTTTAGGTTAAGCTTTTGGGATAAAGTAAAATGTTGATATATTATGTTTTATGAATAGTTTTTATTTAATATGTATGCCCATATAATATACCATATGTAAAAAAAATTTATTTAAAAAAAAACATATATGTATATGTATATAACTTTAAGTATATATTAGAATATTTGCTTAAAATGTATATTTTATAGTGAAATGACCCCAAAACTATTCTACAGCACACACATGCAATTTTATGTATACGCAGCTGTAATGAAGTTTTCACGACACATAAAAAAAATAATACAATTTGAAGTATGGAGATAAATTAACTTTGTCGGCACCAAAGATAAAATATCCTGAAACAGGTGCATTTCTCGTAGCATAAAAGTGCATAAAAAGGATCCTTATCTTGATTTTCATAGGTTAGTTTGTATGACAGCTATATGTTATAGTGATTTGATCTGAACAATTCCTGGGAATATTGAAAGGATGCTCGAAATAATAATCTGTGCAAAGTTTCTTGCTGATATCTTATCAAATAAAAAAGTTTCCCATACAAGGACTTGAGTTTGACAAAATACTCCATTTTAAAAGTTTTGGACTCGAAATAAATAGAAAGATACTCGAAAAACCGCCCACACCCCTTTTCAACAGTTTCACATGGGAGAAAGCATCATTTTGACGATTTTCTCCTCCAAAATCAGGGATTTGGAACACATTTTTATTTTTCTAAATTACTGGGTGAATCCAAATTTGTTTTTTCTTTAATAAAAATATGCCCCATGCGATTCTGCAAATTTCTGCATTTTTATTTTTTCTCTACGACCAGTAGTTTAGAAGTTATAAGCATTTTTGTATTCGCTTGAATTCGGCGGCTGCTTGCTGCATGCTCCTGGTCGCCTGGTAGAAATCCGAGATTTTGGCACCAAATTGAATGTAATTTTCCTGCAGCGACGGCGGATGCTCCGCAAATTTGCGTGGAGTGTTGCATACGCAAAGGGGCGAAATTCGGAACACGGATGCGGCCATATGCAACGGCCGGAAATCGGAAGTGGATCGCGACCGGAAGCGAAATCACGGTACCGCACTTCCGGTCCGACAACCAAACCGGAAGTAACAAACCGGAAATTGATAAACTGAACCGGAAGTATAATAACGGTACCGCACTTCCGGACCACCAACCAAACCGGAAGTCCCGGGCGGAAACGGAATTGCAATACCGGAGGCAAACAACATCCGTTTCCGGTTTGCGACTTCCGGTTTGGGTGCCATACCGGAAGTGTGGTGCCGTTATACCACTTCCGGTACAACACATCCGTTTCCGGTTTGGTACTTCCGGTTTGGTTGTCGGACCGGAAGTGCGGTACCGTGATTTCGTTTCCGGTCGTGGACCACTTCCCATTTCCGGCCGTTGCATATGGCCGCATCCGTGTTCCGAATTTCGCCCCTTTGCGTATGCAACACTCCACGCAGATTTGCGGAGCATCCGCCGTCGATGCAGGAAAATTACATTCAATTTGGTGCCAAAATCTCGGATTTCTACCAGGCGACCAGGAGCATGCAGCAAGCAGCCGCCGAATTCAAGCGAATACAAAAATGCTTATAACTTCTAAACTACTGGTCGTAGAGAAAAAATAAAAATGCAGAAATTTGCAGAATCGCATGGGGCATATTTTTATTAAAGAAAAAACAAATTTGGATTCACCCAGTAATTTAGAAAAATAAAAATGTGTCCCAAATTGCCGGTTTTTAAAGAAATTAGGCTTTAAATGCCTTAACATTTTGATTACGATATTTAGTTGAGGCCCTCCGACTGTTGATTCCCCCTACTATAGGAAAGGACTTAGCTCGTTACGCTGATCACTTCCATACATAATGCTTTATGGGGTCTTCGTCGTTTCGTCTGTGTGTTAGAAACATAGTGGCAAACTTAATATACGCTGTTAAGTAAATAAAAAATATTAGCCGAATTCGAGGACAGCGGTCTGTTTTGATCACTATTTCCTCAGATGAAGTTAGTATTATGTATGTACACATGTTTATTCAATACTTACACATACATATATGTACAACTTAACTTCTGTAGGTAGTTGCAATATTGTCTTTAAAATAATAAAATGTTAAAGTTTAACACAGCGTGATTTTATTTTCTCTGAGACAGAGATTGTTAAAGGAACAATAAAGAATTTTCTTCTTGTGCTTTATTACATATACATATATTGAATATTTAATAATAATATCTGCCATAAATCTGCATTAAAAACCCCACCCTGTATGAGGTCTTCATACTAGCTGCCTAAAAGTAGGCTTACTTCATACATGCCGCCTATAAAAAGGGCTGCATTGTTTTACGTCGCCTAAAAGTATGCATATACAATTTGCCATGAGTTTAAGTTGTATTCGCGCTATCCAACGGCGCGCACTGGCGCTCCCACAGCGCCATGAACTTGAACTCCGCAGCGAGTGGGGCGCCTACAAAATGTGTGTATAATGTTCGTGGAAGTTGTAGAAACCTTCGAGCATGTAACAAATAAATTCTAATTATCGATTATTTCTGAAACGCTAACTAACTGACGCGCTGCCACAACTGTGAACACACGAGACATAACTCATGTGCCGTCGAGGGTTAAGGTTGCAAGCGCAACGAAGCAGCAATCAAAACAAAAAACCGATGAATTCAAACGCAAGCCAAGCAGCCAGACACTTACAGCACAATAAAGTGGAAACTTACACGACGTTTGCTTGGCAAAGGAAAGCAGCGGCGACGGCATTACAACAAAAGCGCACAGCAGCAGCGAATGACGAAAGTAAGGCAGGCGGTAGGACAGGCAGACAGCCTGACAGCCAGATGACCAATGAAAAGGCCAAGTAAGCAGTCAAACCGGCGGCCAATCCGGAGACTGCCAGGCAGGCGGACAGACAGTCGAGCAGTCAGTTAGTCTGTTAGTAAGGCAGACAGTTAACAAATAAAAGGCAAAGCGAGTGTAAATGAGCCTACGCGCATGTGTGTGTGTTTGTAATGAGAACTGTGCTGTGGCAGTGTGGCGCGACATGGTAAGCGGAGTTTCAGTGGCATAAAAAATGTGGCAAATCGAAATGCCGCCGGCGCAAGGCAAAGAAGGAAGGATATGGGTAAGCAGTTGTTTTTGTTGTTTTCTAGACACATATGCACGCATGTGTGTGTGTGCTTAAGTGTGCTCACACGCATTGCATATTTTCAGCAGCACACACCGACGCGGCCAGACAGACATGTGAGGCTCTGAAGCTGTGCAAATCTGCTGCTTACTAAATCTCGCATACAAACAGACTATGCGGCTGTGTGTAACAGTGTGTTTGGCCTGTTTGGAGATTGCGTAAAACGATGCGTCGTGTAGTCACTTATGTTTTACGAGCACTGTTATGCTGCAGCTGTTTTTTGTTGTTATTGTTGTTGTCGTTGTTGTTATTGTTATTGTCATTTTAATGTATTGTTGCCGCTCAAAAGTTCTGAATGCTTGCTGCCGACAAAAGATCGACCGAGCAGACCATATTGCGACAGCCGTTGGCACTACAAGTCCACACAGATACAATCATACACGCATACATGCATACAAAGACAAATATGTGGCACATCGCTGCAGCTGCGCAGCGCGCAAGAGTTGGAGCGGTTGGGCTCAGCACCTGGGCGGTGGGTTCTTTTTGCAGCCATCACCACATTGTAGCAGCTGCTGCGGCCGCTGTTTTGCCGCCAACTTTTTCCCAGGCTCATCAGTTTGGACCACTTTTTATTGCCGCAACGCGCAACGGCGCAACGTTACGGATGCTGCGACTGCTTTATTTTGGCCAAACGGGCGTTAAGCGTAAATGAAGCTACAAAGAAAATAAAAAGAAAAGAAAATTAAAACAAAAATAAATAAAAATAAAAAAAATAGGAAAAATTAAAAAAAAATAAGTAAAGTATGAAAAGTAGCAATCGAAAATAAAAACAGAAAACGAAAAGAACGCTGCTTTTGTTATTATGATGGAGCTTTTTTGTTTTCGCTTGCCATTTATCCTTCGAGGCGTTTTAGAAATTTCGCGCATGCAGTTTCGCTTCGCTGCTGTTTTGTTGTGTTGTTGGTATGCTGTGTTGTTTTATAACCCTATTATAGGTGTATACCTTGCCTTGATGCTCTTGCAGTGCCACCGTGGCTGCACAGCCCAGGCACATCCGGTTGTATCCAAGCAGCTGGATTAACGACTACGTCTATGCCGTCCATTATTTACGCAACCAGTTGTTATGTAGTAGGATTATATTACTTGGACTATTCTGCATTTGTTGTTGTTGCTTTAGATAATAAGTAAACGCCACTCAATTTTTAGCTGCTGCAGCTTACAGCGCGTTGTAAGTACGCTAAGTGTGGCGAAAAGGACGGCATAAAGGCACTGATTTGCATTCGAGTTCCTTTCTCGTAGAGTCTAGCCAAAATACGCCGCTAATTAGTCAGCTAGGGCTTGGTGTTGTGGTACAAAATTGTGTGGGCGGACGCTTCCGCTGGGTTTCAAGTTTTCATTAAGTTATACTGTTGCGGCAGAAAACATCACGGATCTAATTTGGAGGAATGCTGCCGAGTTAACAGTGCTTGGCCGGCTAAAAACCCAACTACATTCCAATTAGCTACAGCCGACTAGTGTTGGAACGGAGACCTACTGTGCCTAAGTACAGCCAGTCTATCAGTAAATCAGTACAGTCTAATTTGAGCTGAAGTATGCGTCATACAGATGAATTTGATATCCAGACTTGATACTTCGTCTCTGTTTCGTTTTCGTCTTCGTCTTCATCTTAATCTTCGTCTAGCCTCTTGAACTGCGAAGATATCTAAAACAGGTTATACATAAGGCTGGATAGAAACAAATAAGGCGCTTCGCGCCTACCTTTCTGATACCAGTAAGTTGTTGGCTGCTATTAGATCAACTACCCTCTCGCGGTCCCATCAACACCGTGTGAGTACAAAGAAAGCTTTTTATTTTTCTTGGCTCTGGTTCATGACCTTGGCTTATCGGATGGTACTTTTGCACCTGTCATTACGTCAATGACCGCCCTTTGTGTTGTTCTTCGGGCTTCGGGCTTCTGATCCGTATATCAGTTAGTTCGGAATTTTGATTATATGTCATTTTAAGCAACTTACGTACTTCCTGGGCCAGCTCGGAGGACATTTTTAACAATCTCTGCATCCATTTCGTCTTTCGGAATTCCTTTCTGGATGAGGACCATATATATAAGCAGCCAGTTGCCAGTTGCCAGTTGGCTAACTTCGTGGTCTGGAAACTTGTATATACGCAGTCGCTTTCCGCCTCAACATCTACAGCCCTGCTCCTAACGACATTCTCTATTGTAGTGCGACGTGAGCTAAGCCGTTTTCTTGCTCACAAATACCTCCACCTGGAAGATGCTACACTTTACCGCCACCTTGAAGGTTTAACTGAGATCCAACTCCGAATAAAAGATTTCGTTTCCACACTTTTAGAAGTTTTTTCACTATCTGAGCCGCTTTTCTTGCCGCAAAGACTTCCGCCTAAAATATACTGCAGTATACCGACAGCTTGAAAGGCCGCCAGAGCTCCACCTTCAGACAATAGATTCCGGCGGACCCAAAATTTTTTATCCGGATACGGACTGTCAACTCGGCAGAATGGTATTTTGTGGATTTTAAGACTTCTTAGATCTCTATATTGTCCTTGATTTTTCGTTTACTCGGGTTTAACAGTTAGAACAAAGCTTCAACTGTAGACCACAAGCTGGCCGACTACTTTTTCCCTTTACGAGCTTTTAAGATGACCGCAATGGTCAAATATAAAATGGTCCGTTATTCAACTCGCGAAAGTTTATGCATTTTTGCTCATAACTGTTTTGATTTAGTAGCCGCCACTTATCAGTTCTTATCAATCATTTTGCTTGTCACGCAGTACCTAAAATATCAGTTGCCGTCTTATCAGCTTTTAGCAATTTGTTATCGAAACAGTGGTGATATCATTTATATCTAATTATATTTGCTCATAAATATTTGCAGTTGTTAGTTTTAATTGCATTTGCTTTGTCAAGATAACGATTTAACAATGTCTGCTTGTTTAGCTGTATATACCTCAACTAGTCCCTCAATTTTTAAGGTATCGAACTGAAATTTTGTACACATCCATTTTTCACTAAGCAACTGCTCATTTGTCGAATCTGTCGATATCGGACTACTGTAGCATATAGCTGCCATGTAAACTGAACGATCGGAATGTAGTGCTTGTACGGAAAGCTTTTTCATTTGACGAGATATCTTTACGAAATTCGCCATGGATTATTTTTTAAGATAAAGACGCATTCTATGCAGAAATTATTCATATAGGATCACTATAGCATATAGCTGACATACAAATTGAACAATCAAAATCAAGTCCTGTATGAAAAACTTTTTTATTTGACAATATATCTTCAAGCAAATTCACAAGAATTATTATTGAAGTCAAATCTATAATTTCCAAGGAAATTGTTCAGATCGGATCACTATAGCATATAGCTGTCATACAAACTGGTCGTTTACAATTCAGTCCTTGTAGGAAAAACTTTTTCATTTGAGAAGATATCCTTACAAAATTTGCCAAATATTATTATCCAAAGCAACTCTAGTTTTCCTGCAGAAATTGTTCAGATTGGACGACTATAGCATATACCTGCCATACAAACTGAACGCTTAAAATCCAGCCTTTGTATGAAAAACTTTTTTAAATATGAAGGTAGCTTCACGAAATTTAGCATGAAGTGTTCACCGAAGCAACTCCATAATCTTCCCAGAAATTGTTCAGATCGAACAACTATAGCATATAGTTGTCATACAAACTGATTGTTAAAAATTATGTCCCTGTAGGAAAAACTTATTCATTTGAAAAGATATCCTTACAAAAATTTGGTATAAATTATTATTCAAGGCAACTCTAAAATTCCAGCAGAAGTTCTTCAGATGGTACCAGTCTAGCATATGGCTGCTGTCGAAACTGGCAAATATATCAATATTCACATGTATGTTTGTATGTCTGCTTGCTATGTAATAACAGAGCACGCTATGTTATCTCTTGGCATTATTTATGTCATAACTAACCATATTCGTATGTGCATGTATGTGTGTACAAAAATGCCACACCTTCAATTAACCACCGTTTGGCTTAAGGTAAATACCACTAAAGAGCTAATATTGAGTTCTAAGACCGTTAGTCGTATTCTTTGCTTGTCACTTCGTTAATTTACACATGACACATATCTTCGAACCATATGTACACACATATATATATATTAGTCGCTGCAATGTTGTTTACATCTACCGCTGCTTACGGTAATTTCCATGCCATCACCAACTGCGTGCAGTCTACGACCATTTTCACTGCGCCGACTGACCAGCAGACAATCTCGTTATACCCGTTTAAGCTATTTACTCCATTTACTGGTGGCTACCTTTTTGTCGAGCGACAATGCAGTGAAGATCAAAGGTTTATTTGCTATTTGTTGTATTATCCCGATTTGTCCATTACCCTCTGCCATTTTCCGAATTGCAGACACAAATCGACTTTCGCAAAGGCAAAATGTTCTTATGAAAGCAGCTGCTTTCTTTGCAATCAATACTTTTTGTTATTGTTGTAGTAGTAGTTGTTGTTTTCGTAATAGTAGTTATTGCATAAAAGCTGGAGCTTTTACATGCAATTTCCTGAATGCCCTTTGCCTTCCTCTCTGCCCTGTCGGTGTTGGTTCTTGTCATTTGGTGTTGTTGTTACTAACGCTTGGTTTCTGCAGTGTTTGGCATTGTTCGAGAACAAAGCAAATACTCAACAGCGACAGCAAAGTCCACGGTCAACGTTGCGCCCAAATGCAGTCAACAACAGCTATCGCTGAGCATCCAAGGCGGCTATGAAAAGCCGGAAATGGGTTCTACTCAATGGCCAGCTAAGCATTATTTAGCTAACGCTTTTGTGCATTATATGCTGCAAAGTGAGTAAAATCAATTTCTGTTTACAATTTTGAATATTAGTTTCGTCACGGCTGCTTCTTATAGATTTGGCTATCAAGTCTTTTATTAAATTGAGCGGGATCTTGTCGAGATCTGGACTGAATTGAGCTCTTAACTCGCTTGCCTACTTAAGCATTGAAAACGTGTCTTTTCAACTCGGTAGATATAATGAAATAGGGATTGCGGCTCCACTCACTCTGAGCTATTCATGGTCCAACTATAGTCTCGGGGTTAGTGGAGCTCTTCAGCCATTTGTATACTCAAGCCTTGAGAATATGACGTTTCAACGAGGTAGATATTATGAAATAGAGTTCTTCTAACTTATATATAACCTTCTACGGTCTCGGATATGAAGCTGTTTATCTCTGGATAAATATGATAAAATAGCTTTTGGGACTCAACTTCGCTAACGTATGCACAACTTCGTGTAGTCTTGCATCCGAAGACTATTATTGAATTGAGCAGAATCTTTTGGAGTCCTAAACTCCGTGGAGTTCTTAGCTCGTTTGATTTCTGCAGCCTTGAGGATTTGACGTTGCAACGAGTTACATATAATTAAGTAAGGATTGGGGTTCAACTCAGCTAATCTCTTCAAAGCCTCCTAAAGTCTTGGATATGCAATCTTTTGTTGAATTTACAGGAATCTGGCCGATCTCCGGAGTCAGAGGAACCTCTAGCTCGTTTGTATACTCGTTTATTGAGGATGTGATGCTTTAACGATTCAGATATGATAAAATAGTGATTGGTGATTAATCTTGTCGATCTTTGGCAATAGTGGAGCTCTTGTATGCCCTAACATTGAGGATGTGTCGTTTTAACGAGGAAGTTATGACAAAAAGAACTGGAACTCCATTGGATATGAAGCTTTTTAGTAAATGGAGCGGCATCTTGTCGATCTTTGGAGTCAGTGAAGTCCTTAACCCATTTTTATACCGAACCCTAGAGGATGTGACGTTTCAGCTGAATAGATATGATGAAATAAAGTAGGGATTGGAATTCAACTCATCTAAACCCAATGCCCTTAAGACTTCCCTAAATTTTCTAATTTTCAGCTCTCTCTCTCTCTATCTCTTTCTGTTTACAGCAGCACAGAAAAAACCCTAACAGATATTGAATATGTTAACCTGAAAGAGCGCAGAACTCTGGCGCTGATGTCAACAAAGCAAATAAATGCAGCGTCGAGCTTGCTGCCTTAGATGGATCACACGAAAGCGCTCAAAAGTAGTGCAGACAGCACAGCGCCTACGTTGGACTTCGCTCTCTGCACAGATCTGCCAAGCCGCTGCGCGCCATGCTTTACAGCTGTGTGACACTGCCTGAATGCCGCATAGCCCGCTGGCGCGTCTGCACAGCTGTGCTTCCGACCAGCGCTCCGTTTATGGATGTGAAAGATACATGAGATATATTTTTTGTTAAAGCTTCAACTTTGGCGCTGATTTCGGTGTTTGGTTGCTTGGTTTTTGGCTACAATTTCGAACGTTGCTGTTGTTGTTGTTGTTGTCGCCAGCACACACACACAAACAACGTGCGATTTGATTTTTACTTATTTATTGTGCCACTGTGACCGAAGCGAATGCGAAACCACATGTGAAAATCAAAGCAAAAACAAAAGGCAATTACAACAACAGCAAACACTCCACATATGTACGTTGGTGCCAAGCAGTGGCGGCTCTTTGGCGCTGCTCGCCTTTGCCGCCGCGGCAGCTGTGCGCTTGGCTTCGCACTGTCGGCCCATGCTTGGCTTTGTGCTTTCAAGGCAGCCACACAGCCGACTGGCCATCAGTCGTTCGGTGTTGATTACCGTGTGCGGTACGTTGTCTACTCCAACCTCCCAACCAATTTGGCGAATCGTGTTTTGGCTTTCGAAGCGCAACGAGTGCTGTTCACTTGTGACTCCGAGGCAAATTAACGTATTAAAAAGAAAAATAAAAGTTTAAACAAAAGTAATTCCGCCTGGAAATTGGAAATCACTGTTGCTGCCACAACAACGTCGTTGTGGAATTGATAACAGTGCAATAGAAATCGCAGAAACACATAAATCGCCAACCATTAACGCATACGACGTCGACGCGCGTTATTTTTTTTTTTTTGTTTCTGGCATCTACGTCGCGTTAAATCAATCAACAGGTGGGTTGCTATTGCAAAATACAAACGTACTCACATATAAAGTTGCACGTATGTGCATAAGGTGACCAGCGCGCTGTACGTGCTAGTGTTGTTTGGGTAGAGTTGTTGTTGTTTTGGCATATTGCGTGCAATTTACGTGGGAAACGCAAACTTTGGCGAAACTTCCGGCTAACGCAATCGATGGCGTTTGCTTTGTTAGCTGGCTTATCGCTTTTATTTCGACCACTAACGTGCCATACGTGTTGATTTATGAGGCGAGCGCTTTTCAGCGCTTTTGTTGCTAGTTCGCGTATCGCTCGTTTGCACTTTGGCACTGCCTTTGTTGGCCAGACCAAACGTATGTGCAACATCTCGGCTACCTTTTTTGGCTACGAAACTGAAACACTCAGCCACACCGCAATAGAGGAGGCGAAATGTATGTGGCAACGCTGGAGCAACACGCGCGGCTGCGGAAACCAACACACAACAAACAATAAACCACGAGTTTTGTGTGCTGACTGCTTTAAGTCAGCCGTGTTTTGGTTTTATTTTGCTTCTTTTACACATATGAGTCTTTTCAAATAAATATAATTTCTGAGAAATTAATTGCTCCAGACATCAACGAGAACTTTCAAGCAGTCATTGGCTTCAAAAAGTAACATAGCAGTTAATTATCAAGACGAGTGTTTTTTTTATAAGTGAGTTATATGTATGTTTAGAGTGGCTACCGCACAGTGTGTAGAAATGCAAATTGAACTGAAGTACCCTTCAAATGCAAATTTATCTGTACAAGCACTGGATTTGACTCGAAGAGTTTGTATGACAGCTATACGCTATAGTAGACCCATCTGAACAATTTCTTCAGATATTATAGAGTTGCTTTCGGAAATAATCTGTGCTAAATTTCGTGAATATATCTCATCAAATAAACCCAGTTTCCATAAAAGTACTTGATTTTTATCAATCAGTCCGTAATCTGTGCCAAATGTCACAACAAAATAATCTTTAGTGTGTAGTACAAGCTTGTCTTTCTAAAGTACATGAAGTGCATTGGACGTTTTTTTCGATGAGTGATATTATTCTGGTATCGGAACATACAGTTTGTTGGAAAAGGCCTTCGGTTATAATTATTTTTCGCAAACAAGTGCGTTTGATTGGTACAAATTATGCAAAGAGGTTCGAGAATGCTTTGACGATGGACCACGTTCAGGAAGACCATCAACATTAACTAATAATGAATAAGTAATGGAATAGGTGTTAAAGAATCGTCGACTAACAGTCAGAGATCTTACTGGCAGCGTTTGAATGTCGGAAGTAACCAATTTGTAAGCTCATTTGCGCATAAGAGAAGTGAAAGCACGACTGGTTCCAAAATCACTAATTTTTTCCGAAAAACAGCGTCACGTTTAACGTCTGTGAAATAATGCTTTATTTATTTTTTATTGTCTTATTAAATTCTATGACACCTCTTGAGTCAAGTTGATTCGAGCAATAGTTTCGCTGATACAGCCTTGTGCGCACGAGGCTAGCTAGGCTAAGAGTGTCGTCTTTAAATGAATTATTGTCGAAACTGTGTTTTTAAAATCGGTTGGCAAGATTTTTCAAGAACTACTCAACCGATCTTCATGAAATTTTACGCAGGCCTTTGAGAAATAATTCTTAACGTCTTGGATAAAAAATTTTGTAAAAATGTCTGCCAAAGTGTCCAAGTACTAAGTTAAGTATTTCTTTACTTTAGATAATCCTGTAAGGAGTTTTTCCTAGGGCTCACTGGATATAGGGTCGCAGTTGCCGAGCTTAAAATACTTTTTTTTCCAAAAAATTCAGAATTTCTTTGTTAAGAGTGTATATTTGTAACAATAAAAAATTCTAATAAAATATTTAATTTTTTATGAGAAAACAAATTTTGAAAAAAGGCTGGTTAACCGACTAAACCCTTGTAACCCCTCAAAAAATTACCACTACTTGAGTCACCTATTAGTAAAACAAGTTGAGCTCTATCTTTACTTTGCTATATAGTTTGAAACGATTTTTTTTTAGTAATTAAAAGTAATCTCAAATATTGCTGCAAACGTTCGCCTCAGACCCACTGTGCGTGCGACCGSCTGCTTATGGTTTAGTGCCACCCAAGCCACTAGTATTGCTTTTRGTTTTCGTTTTCCCCTTAAATATATTTTATGTGCTAACTAATAAGTTTTCTAAGCTGGCTATGTTATGATTTTTATCGTTGTTGCTGTTCCTGTAGTTGTTAACCGGTTGCTTACAACGCTCTGTTTCGCCGCTAGATTTGCTCAAATATTACAAGCAGTTAACATTTCTATAAAAGTTTTATTGTTGGTGTAAATTGTTATTGTTGTTGGTTGTTGTAAATACAGTTGTTGTTTTTGTATTTATAGTTGTTGTTATTGTGATTATAATTGTTGTTGTTGTTGCATTGTTATCTCAATTTGGCGCTGCTTTGTACGCAACGCTGCACCAACAAAACATGCGAGCAACGCCAACGCAACATGGGTGACTGCGCGCACCGACTGCCATACGAGGCTCGCCGAAGTGCGGAATTAATAATAAGCGGCCTGGTGTGTCTTCGAGACACACTTAGTGTGGAGCGATGCGTGCCGCGGCTGCATTGCGACCGTTTAAATTGGTGATATAACGAGACAGTCGAGCGTCGGCGCTGGCAAACAGCTCGCATTTGGTAATCGAAAGCGTGTGCGCTCACGTGTTTAACGTTTTATTTTGGCCATATTTCGTTAACTATTTGTGTGAGCTATGTATGGCTGTGTGTGAATTACTTTCGGCATGGTTTGAGCGCATGCGCGTATGCCGTGTCTTAAGTTTTCGCTTTTGTTTCATAATCGCTTGTGGTAACGCCGGCTTTCCGCTTAAGAAATTGACAATTAAAAATGCTTATTTTCACAAACCGCTCGTTTATTGAGACACATACTTGTGTATCTGTGTAGACTGTTGACATATAATAGATGTGCGCTACTTGCAGCGTCGTAAGTTAAGTCACGCAGTTGGCAAACGGCGGAGGCAACATAAAGCTGCACACAAATACATACAAACAAAAAGAAATATACATAAAAAGACTGCGTACACACATAGATAATTGAATTTGCACTTGCTGCGTTCATTAAATTTCGCAGTGTGTTGTGCGCCACAAAGCCGTGGCGTGGTACCAATGGCGCATCATCATCCGGCACTTAGTTAGCTTAACGAGAAATTTAGAGTATGAAAGTGCAGCCAAACAGCGCGGTCATACATATCATACCGCAGTTGTGTGGCATGCATACGCGCATGTGTGCGCGTTTGTGTGTGTGAATGCCGCCCATTCATTATCAAAAACACCATCTACGCGAAATGATAGCCGTGGAAAAGTGCATACAACGGCGATAAAACGCCAGGCGCAATGCCAAAGCGGCCGAGAAAAAATCGCAAAACAGCGCTGGTAACAGCTTCATTAGTATATGACTGCAGCGCGCACTAAAAATTGGTAAAATAAAAAAAATTAAAATTCGATACCAACCAAAGCAACTTGAAAACATGCAAGCGTATTAAGTGCGAAACATGCAGATATCGAAGCGTTGGCAAAGTGTGAGATAGTAACAAGAAATAACGTTAACATCGGCGGCACCGAAGCTATAATACCCTACACAGGTGGACTTCTTATAGCATAAACGTATATGAAAAGGTATTTATCTTGATTTTGAACGGTCAATTTGCATGGCAGCTATATGCTATAGTGGTCCAATTTGAACAATTTCTACAGATATAAGAGCCCAGCCTTGACAAAGAACTCACGCCAAGTTTCGTGAAGATATCCCGTCAAATAAACAAGGTTTCCATACAAAGATTGGATTTTCACCAATCAGTTATATGGCAGCTATACGCTAGAGTAATGCGATCTGAATGATCAGATATTATAGTATTAATTAAGGGTGTTAATCCCTGCCAAATTTTGTGGAGCTATCTCGTCAATTCAAAGAGATTTCCATACAATCACTCGTCTCCGATCGTTCAGTTTGAATGGAAGCTATGTGTGGTAAGTTGTTGAAGGTTCAAATGAGCAACATAATTTCTTGATGAGAAAATGATGCGTCAAAATTTAAGATCGATATCTCAAAAGCTGAGGCCATTTCCCATAGCTGACATTATACTCGAAGATCATGGAGAGTCCATTCGGCGAGGTTCGCAACAACTCGGACTGACGTATGGAACAAATTGACGCATTTCACGTCGAGATCTTAAATTCAAAGCGTATAAAATACAGTTTGTGCAAGAACTGAAGCCGCTCGACCTTCCCAAGGGACATCGTTATGCTCTATGCGCTTCTAAAAAGTTCCATGAAGATCTCACGTTTTCGAACCAAATTTTGTTCACCGATGAGGCTTTTTTCTGGCGCATTGGGTACGTAAACCCCCAAAATTTCCGCATTTGGAACGAAGAGCAATCGGAAGCAATTCAAGAGCTGTCATTTCATCCAGAAGAAACAACGTTTTGGTGTGATTTGTGGGCCGGTGGAATCACTAGTCCATATATGTCTTCAAAAATGATGCCAGTGAGATCGTAACCGTCAATGGCGGCGCTTATCGCGTTATGATAACCGACTATTGGATGCTGAAATTGAAGCTCGTGATCTCGTCGCTATTTGGTTTCAACAAAATGGTTCCACTTCCCACACATCGCATCAATCAGTGGATTTTTTGAGAGCACACTTGGGTGAGCAGATAATTTTTCATTTTGAGCCGGTCGATTGGCCACTAACTTCATGTCATATCACACCGTCAGACAACTCTTGTGAGGATATGTGAAGTCTCAAGTCTATGCGGATAATCCTGCTTCGATTCAGGGCTTGCAGCGAAGCATCTTCCTGGCAAACTTAATATATATTGTTCAGGGTATAAAAAAAACGCGCCAGAGCAGCATTATAATAAGCAGTAGACCTCGTAGATCATCACATTGCCAAAATAAGATCAAAAGTGTCGGCGAAGCCACTGCAAGACGTCATCTACTTTGTGTAT